CAAAAATTACAATTCAATAATAACCGATTCATGAGGTTAAACAATGTAGAAGTTATTAAAAATGTATTGGTCGATGTCTTTGTCATCGTCTAATTTAAACTTAGAATGTACAACTTAATAGATTTAAATGTCGTTGGGGATGTGTATGTATTAATGTCATTTTTTGAATAAAATTAGCCGCATAGCCCTACAGTAGCGGAAAAAATTCGCCCCGCTACACTAGGGGAAAAAATTTCGCCCCACTACACTAACGAAATTTTTTTCACCCCCTACACTACCGAAAAATTTCGCCCCCCTTGAATAGAAATCCTGGATCCGTCCCTGCCCCTCTAGTCCCAGTATGGTCCCGTTTTATGATAAATTCTTTTAAATTTTTAAACCCTCCATTGAACCTTGTGGTTCGATGTAAGGGTGGACTGAACCGGGCCGGTTCGGAATATTGAGGCCTGAGCCCGAACCGGGGTGGCCGGTTCTGGGCCGGGCCACCCGCCCTATTTTTTTTTTGGCTTCTTTATTTAATCCCCTACCCCTCTTTCTCAACCCCAAACCACCTCAAACCACCTCAAATGGACCAAAATACCTAATCTAACCCAAAACATAAAAAATTTTCAAAAAAAAATAAAAAAAAAATTATTTCCGGCCCGGACCGGGCCCGAACCGGCCGGGCCGGTTCACCATAGGAAGGCCCGGGCCCGGAACCGGGAACCACCGGGCCGGTTCGACCCGAACCGCCGGTGGACCGGGCCACCGGGCCGGGCCGGTTGCTACAGTGGCCGGGCTGGGCCGGTTCCGGGTCGGGCCGCCCGGCCTGAGTCCAGACCTAGTTCGATGTAATCACGTGACACTTTCAAAGAGACAGTCACATGTTAGAAAATCATCCCAAATAGGATGTTGACATTTAAGAAAACAAATACTCCGTACTATAATAGGTTAGAAAGCATAGTAAAAAAATCCTCTACCCCTCCCCACTATTTTTCAGATTTTAAGTTTCCACACCCTTTAAAATGCTTCCAATGATTCATATAAAAAAAATCAATGCCTTGAGAATTGGGACCGGATCAGACCAACCGGCCCCCGATCCCAAAATTGAGGCCCGAGGGCCCGAGACTAGGATCTCTTTCTCGCCGGTCGAACACCGGAAGTGGCCTATACCTTATTTTCTAGTTCTCATCCCGATTCAAAACTTGACCGGCACCGCATTGTACCCTAATTCCAAGTGTCCCCAGTTTGTCACCGTAAAATGCAATCGAACAATTAGGATGACTGATGTCTCTGGCTTAGCAATTGGGTTGTATCAACTATCAATTTGCACACTAGCCCTATGATGTTCCTTTATAAAACATGATATTTTTTTTTATTTGGCATGATAAGTACTCCGTATATCTTTCACTTGACCACAATTTATTTGGCGGGAATAAACTCTTGTATCAATCAACGTCTATCAATAAATCATTTTCATTTATCATTTTCATTTGCCCCAGTGCCGTACGTCTATCAATAAATAATTTAATAAAAATTACATTGTATTAATAATATGATGATTGTGATAACTTCTTTGTGGAAAATGCCTTAAAACATTACGATGGGGAGAATGTTTACAAATACTGGCAATGCATTCTGCTTTTAAGAGTCAACCTGTTTGGATCAAACGACAAATCTCTATTTATGATTTTAACTCTATTATTTCTCTCATGAAATTGTCTAATCGTTTTTAGGGCTCTCTAGTCTCTAGGAAGAGGCGTGTTCTTTTTTAATTTCAAAGCACAAAAGTTCAGACATCAGAATAATTATGAATTACGTAGTATCAAATGATGACTATAGGTTACCATCAATAGTACCTTGTGTTAATAAAGAACTTGTTGGAAAAATGTGTAAAAAATTGCATTAAATGACTATTTTGGGGCATTTTTTTGAGTGGGGTCCACTTCCGATTTGGGTCGGGTCAAAGTGGTTTCCCATTGTCCTTGCTTAGGGCTACAATTCGATATATGGTACGCTCAAAACGGATAACGGGTGAATGAGAAATTGTTTTTCGAAGTTTACCCGTTAGAAGGGAAAAAAAATGAGTTTCTAGTGTGTTAATTTCCCACACCGGAAAACCCAAAGGATTTGCAACCCTTTATAAAGGGACTCCCCCCTTAAGGAGTTAAGATTCCTAAGGGTAAAGGCTCTCTCCACGCGCACAGGGGGGGGGTGCAAATAATCCCGAATTCGTCGCAGAAAAACCGCGACTTGCGTGCGCGGGCGACCTGCGGACACGAATGTCGTCCAAAAATCTATCTCTTGGGGTCTTCTGGTGGCCGCGGTATCGTTGGTGTTCTGATGGCCGCGGGACAGAGACCCTCTTGGGGTCTTCTGGTGGCCGCGTAACAGAAACCCTCACAGGGTCTTTTGTTGGCCGCGAACAGAACCCCTTCCAGGGAGTTCTGTTGGGAGGCCTTCTGAACCGTTACAGCAATAAATGCCCAACGTTCTTATCTTTTAATGCAGTGTTAAATGGACAGTTCATGAACGATTCAATGCCCAACGGACTGGTCATTGATGTCCAACGTTCAGGTCCATTAATTCACCATTTACACATAACAAAACCTCCTATATAATGGCTGGCAGGTGGTCCTTCTAATGTTTGAGCACACAAACAAAAGTTCGTAGTCATCATATCCTGGGAAACGATTGTTGCAACGCTCTTAGCACCGTGGGAGGCAACAAATACGTTTTAAGGACATCGTGCGTAGCACGAGCTTTGACTAATTCTGCTTCTTGTTTTTCTCTAGTCATTTTATTTTAATTAATTTATTTTAATTAATTTTCTTTATTTTCCGAAACACACCCAACAGAACTTTCACCTAGTGAATGGACATATCCACCTATTGAGAGAGAACACATTGAATTATACACCTTTCGTTCTATTTTTCTTTTATTCACAGTTTAACTTGACCTGTGTATTAATAAAATAAAATGGTATAATTGTGGTTGATTTGCAAAAGGTAAACAAATGTTAGCGAGACAAACCTTTACATAAAATGAGTAACATTTTTTCCCAATTTTATTTGGTGCTTGTTTAGTACATGTGAAATAAACGAAGGAGGAAAATCAAGCCAAAAAAATGCTATCAGACATAGAACAAGCTCTTTGCGCCAGTGCATGAGCCGCCCTGTTCGCTAATTGCCGAACGTGAGAAAAAGAATTCTCAGAGAAAAAAGATCGGAGTTCTCTAATATCATCAGCCAAGGTCCCAGCTATAAAAACACTCGACCCATCTCAAATTTCCGCAATGGCCTTAGAAGCATCAGACTCCACGTCAACCCAGTCCCATCCTTTCTCCTTCACCCGGCTGAGAGCTTCTCGAATACCCACTAATTCCGCTTCCCAAGGAGAATTCCATGCAAGTTTTTGTCATTCATTCAATTACATTATTTAGGGAAGGGAATAATCAGTTGCTATACCGTGGGAGCAACCCACGGTGAGCATGGTGCTCCCACACACAAAAATGTGGGTTACTGTTCACGCGCGTGAACTTTTTTTTTCATTGTCCAGGAGCAGGATGATGTAACTTGCATATAAAAAAATGTAACTCTCGCTGCTTAGAAATGTAACCGCAAGCTACTTGAAATGTAACATGTCTAATACGGATAATAAGAAATAAAATATTGATCTCAATGAAAACTAAGGAGTCTAATTGCTCAATTATTTTACCTAAATAGGGAATATGTTTTGTTTTTAACATTAAGACCATAGAAAATGTTTTTCAAAAATTATTTATGCTAAAAACATCATTTTTTTTTTTACCAAAAATGAGTGTTTTACTAAAAAAATCATTTGTTTGTTTGCAAAAAAGCTGATTTTTTTGCAGGGTTTATTTTGTGATGTAACACATGTTATGGAAAATGCAAATCGCATTGATGAAAAATCTAACTTAGATGTATGCAAAATGTAACTTGTTAGGACAAGTCCGGATGTAACTCACACCCATAAGAAGATGTAACTCAAGCATAAAAAGACGTAACTCGCGCATAAGAAGATGTAAGTCCATATACTATCAAATGTAAACAATGAAAACAATGAGTCTAATTGCTCAATTAACTCAATTAATTAAAGTAATTAGTTAATGTTTTTTTTAGTATTAAGTCCATAAAAATGTTTTAAATTAAAATATATTTTTTCCCAAAAAAATCATTTCCCCCCCCAAAAAAAAATTTGTTTGCAAGATACTGTTTTTTGTTCCAATAGCAGGGGTTTATTTTGTAATGTAATTCGTGTTATGGGAAATGTAACTCACGTTGATTGAAAATCTAATATACAAAATATAACTTGTTGAGGTAAGTCCAAATGTAACACCCATAGAGGAAGATGTAACACACACATAAAAGTGGTATAACTCGCGCATGTGAAGAAGTAACTCCATATGTTATCAAATATAAATAATAAAAACAAAGAGTGTATTTGCTCACTTAATTGTAATTGCCAAAAAATATTTTGTGAAAGTGTAAACCACACATATGAAAATATAATCTTATATTTTATCAAATGTAAATCAAAATAAACAAATTTAATGTCTTAAAACACTAACAACATGTAAAAAAGATAAGAAATATATTATAAAAATAAAAGTGTACGAATATGAAAAAAAAATATTAGGAAAAAAGTGTATAAATAAAAAAAGATATTACATAAAAAAATAAATTTTGTTGTAATTTCAATTGAAGAAAGAAAAAAGAAAAAGAAGTGTATGAATAAGGACTAAGATAGAAAAAAAGTAATTAATTTATTTTGAAATGATAAAAATTTGATCACAAAATTGTAATACTACGTTGAGTTTTCATAAATTGAAAAAACCAATCCAAAAAAGTGATTCAATGATTAACAAAAATTTAAAACTAAAGAATGAAGAAGAAAAGAAAGGATGATAGATTAGAAAGAACAAAATCAATGCGAACAAAATCTATAATTTGCGGGGAACATTTTTTTTTTTTTTTGTAAATAAACAAAGACTAAAAAGTTTATACCTTCGTTTCTTTGCGTCGACTCCCTAAAGAAGCTGAGATGACTTCTTCCAACGCACTTGACTACTCTCCCATTATTGTTCTCTTCACAGTCAGTGCTGACATTCTTTCTCCCATTCCTAAATAACGGTTCCTGCTTACTCTTACTACGTACGGAGTATTTTTTTTAAATGGCGGTGGGGACTATGGCTGAGCCGATTGAGATAGTGAAAGCTCGCTGTGACAAGAGGGATTACAGAAGAGTCGTTCTTGATAACTCTCTTCAAGTTCTTCTCATTAGCGATCCTGAAACTGATAAGGTTCATCTCAACTGTTTTCTCAACCTGCGATTTCTTCTAAGTTACAGATTCTTATCTGCAACAAATTGAACTGTGGGAAATTATACATTCTTTATGATGTAGTTCTGAAAGCTCCAATCTTTATACATTCTGGAAAATTATTTTATTCTTCATTATTCTGTTTAATTAGTAGGAGTATGAAGTGTTGGAGTAATTAATTGTTTTTTCTTTGATCTCAATTAGTGTGCTGCTTCAATGGATGTCTCTGTAGGCTCTTTTAGTGATCCCAAGGGTCTGGAAGGCCTTGCCCATTTTCTTGGTGAGCATTCCTTCATTTTCTTAACTTCCTAGTTGACTACGAAACTTCCTGTTATCAGTATGTGTGGTCCTTTGACGATCAATATGTCAATTGCATATAAGTTTTTTTGAAGAATGAAGAAAATGGCAAATCTTTCTCAGGGCGAAAAGTTCACATATATCCAACCCCAGAGCCGATTTAAATAAATATTCAATAAATAATTGGAGTACTTAATACTCCGTATGTAAATACGGAGTATATTTTATTCGTGTTCTTTTGATTGATTATATCATGTAAAATAAAAAAACTGTTTGGTTTTAAAAACCAATGACTTTTTAAAATTTTCGGTAGATCTAAACAAAACAAAAAATACCAAAATATTTTCACCCAAATTATGTCTGAATGACTATCCAGTTCAGATGTCAAATATCACAAAACTTTTAGATGTTTGAATTAATATTGGGATATGAACCAAACTGATACGATGCCCACTCCTTTTGTCTTTCACGTTCTAAATAATGAAAATGGACATACACATGCTTGCAGAACATATGCTGTTTTTTGCAAGCGAGAAGTATCCCTTGGAAAATAGTTACTCAAACTACATCTCGGAGGTATTTGCATTCACCTTTTGATCACGATTGATTATTCTTTTTAGTATTTGACTCATAAAAGTTGTTTCATTTTATGTTCATCGTTTTTAGCGCATATATGCTCTCTACAACTAATCGTTTTCTTTTTCATTTTCCTTAACTAATACTCCATTTTTTTCTTAACTGATCACTTTCTATTTTTCTTTTCTGGCCTGCATCAGGCCTTCTACTTATGCGTTAGATATAAACTCCTGCTCTCTCTCTCTATATGTGTATACCCACACACACACACACACACCACATATGCACACACATCCGGTGAAAAGTGCCAAACATGAGAAACGGAGAATATTCACATTTATTTCTCAATATGTTGTAATGTTGCTCTTTTATCATCATATATTGCACTATTTTCGCGGTGGCAAAGAAAGTTCACATTATTAAGAAATTACCACTGTGTTTTTCATCTGCTATATCATTGCTGACACATATAATGCCATTAGAACTCAAATCTAATGCACATCTTAAATTAAGGGTTCTTCTCATTTCATCACATACAAACAGACGCACATGTAGTAATCAACTTATAAAGTAGAGTTGATCCACTAAAGTCTTGAGGAGCATTATATATATAAGTAAACCTGAGGCAAACACATTTTCTATATACCTATAAGGCTGTTCTGGCATTCTGCATTCATGTGATTGATCTAGGATGACTTGAAAACCCCATAGAATATAAGCCCAAATTGTACTAATATACTTTCCTTCAAGATGGAGTATCAATGCTCCATACAGTGTTAAGCTGTCAGCCTGTCACACCAATCATGTCAACGGTCAACCTAAACTAGATCTTAAGTCATGCCACTCATGCGTAATGTAGTACTGCATTTCCATAGTTTCTTTCTAAACTTTGCTACTGCCTAACAGGCAGGTAGTGGTGGTTATTCGTCACTTGACAGACCTAACAATCATCAAAACTCAACAAACTTAAATCTTGAAATTCAAAACTTGAAATGGATTTGAATATATACTTGACACTTGATCTCTGCACTTTGAGATTGAACTTGTCTTGAATATAAACTGAATTTTAACTTGAAAGAACTTGAATTTGTAACTTGGCTCGAACTGACTGGATATGGAGTTGAACTTGAATTCAAACTTTGAGATGAACTGCAATCTTTCCTTGAATTCCCCCCCTTGGCTTATACTCGATCAAACTTGAATTTCTATACTTGACTTGAATCTGTGAAGTTTATGTTACGATCCCACACTGGTCAAGTATGGGCTTGGCCGGTGGCTTATAAACAAGGTGTTCCCTCCTCCTAATCGGCTGGTCTTTTAGGAATCTGTGAAGTTCTACACTTGGGCTTATGGCACAGCTATGGGCCTAGTATGGGCTAGGTCCGTAACAATTGGTATCAGAGCCGTCAGCCGTCCCCATCTTCCTAGTCCCGACACTCAGAGTGGTGGCCTATGGAGTGGTGGCTTGGGCCCTGGGGGGTGCCAACCGTGACCAACATAGCCTGACCAACGAGGACGTTGGCTCTTCGAAGCGTGGGGTATTGTTACGATCCCACACCGGTCAAGTATGGGCTTGACCGGTGGCTTATAAGCAAGGTGTTCCCTCCTCCTAATCGGCCGGTCTTTTAGGAGTGAGTTCTACACCTGGGCTTATGGCACTGCTATGGGCCTAGTATGAGCTAGGTCCGTAACAGTTTACCCTCTGTTTGTAACTTCAAACATGAAAGTTGAACCAGTGAAGTTTACCTTTGGCTTGTAACTTCAAACATGAAATTTGGACTGAGGTGTTTCTCTACATAATTTAGTGCTCACCATAGAAACTGAGGGAAAAAAATATGGGTCATTGTCACTATTCTGCTACTCTTTTTAAAACATAGATGACTCTAATACCATGACGAACAACAATTGAAGCTTAAGTTACGGGAAAAGGTGCAAATGCACTTGTAATGTTTACCTCTACAGTCTAGATATATATTACTGCCTAATGTTTTTTCCAGATGCAAGTATACCAGAATGTTACACTTAGGGTGCATATTGGCCATTGTTGGCCTTAAATGCTGATTTCTTTTAAAAAATTTAAAAATAGTTACCATAAAATGTAGATGCAAATGACGAATAAGGTTATTGTGTTCAGGGGTGGAGCTATGTGTTGTATGGAGGGGGCTTTGCCCCCACCCTCTCTATCCCGTAATTTCATTATTATATATGTTGGTTATTAAAAAAATTCTTAAAAAATTACTACGTATATACTTGGGCTAGTTTTCCCCACCACCTTCTAACATTTTGTAGAAACTGAGGGAAAAAATATGGGTCATTGATTATCTTCCTAAAATGGGACTAAAGTATACTCTATCTTCCTGTTTTACCCTTACCATAATTTTATAGGAAAATCATATTTTAATTTGTAATAAAAATAAAAAAAAATTAATTTATAATAAAATCGTAAAATTTAGAAAAAATTCACACATATTTTTAGAAAGCAAAATAATAATAATAAAAAATTAAAAATAAAACTTTAGAAATAAATAAAAATAGATAAAACACATAAAAAATCTTAAAAAATTGTGGAGGCCTTTCCAGCAACCTCTGCCACCTCCCAGCAATGCCACCTTTGATCAGTAAATAAAATGCCATTTTGTGTAAAAACTGCCATTTTTCTCTGGAAATGCCATTAAGATAACATTTTTTACTCTTTGAAAATACCAATTTTTTCTCTAAAACTGCCATCAAGATGGCATTACCGACACATGTTGGCATTTTCTTCCAGTGGTCAGAGCTGGTAGTGTTGGGAGATTGTTGAGACGGCAAGAGAGGCCTTCCTTTTTTATTTTTTTTTACCTTTTTTATTATTTTAAAAATTTAAGTTTTTTAGTTTTATATTTTTATTTTTCTAATTATTTTTTGTTAATTTTATTTAATATTTATTTTCATGTTTTTTTACATTTTTATTATAAATAAAGTTATTTTTATTAGATTTATGTTTTAATTATTAATGAAATATGAATTGTATTATTACAAAGTAAGGGTAGGATGGTAAAGTTAATCGTATTTTGGGAATTTTAAAGTTATACTCCTATTCTTGCAATTAAAGTTTCATTTAGTCCTATTTGGGGAATTCCTCCTTATAAAAATGGTTAATTTAATCTATTAAGTGTACAGAATGATAATGCTGTTTTTGGAAATATTGGTATACATTTTTAGGCACATTGAACAAAAAATTTAGATGTAGGAAATCCAGGTATTTAATATATAGGTTATATCTTTTAAAGAGAAAAACTATTTTTTGTTGTCATTTTTACCCTTAATATTAAATAATCATATTTTCTTTTTATTCGAATAATACTAAAGGAAGAGGTTAAGATGAAATTGGACTGACTTATTTTTTTAAAGTGACTAATTGCGCCATTTATACCCTTTAAACTAAAATTATATTTATTATTATTAAAGTTCCCGTCCTGCTCTAGTGTTAGTTACAGAAGCAGTGACCCTAGTCGCCATGACACCACCACCAGTAACACCATTGTTAGTAGCATAACCATTGTTGACACCCCCGCTTGTGATACCACTGCCAGTGTGTCAGTGACCCAACCACTTTGTCACCAACGTCACCATCTAGCTTGTCACTATTGTCGCCCACACCCTCACTCTTAGTGACATGCCTCCTCCCACCACTGCCTCCACCCGGCAACACCGCTTCCACACACTGCCTGATGGTATCACCATCACTGACATGAACACTGCCTGGTGGTGTCACTATTGTTGAGCTTAGTTGATCCGAGCGACACCACTACCCCTCACCCAACCCACCATTGCCCTGACAGTCGCACCGGTCAAACTTAACTGTGATATCACCACCACCACCACCACACTCAAGCTTACCAAAACCTTAGCTACCAGAGTTTGAATCCCCAAACAGCGTTCTGGAATTACTGATCCTGATTCTTGACCCAGATTCATCTTGCACCGCCATGATTGAATCTTTAATACTGTTATTATAGACGTTGTCGATTTGGATTTGTCTTCATTGTATCACAGTGTTGACAACGTCAAGCAACATCACCTTCACTGCTATGGTCGATTACATTTGGAAGATAAGAACACGAAGGTAAAGAATCCCTAGGCATCGCCCACATTGTTGTGGCCCACTGCCGTCATTGATGATAGAGCCGCATTGTAGTCGCTATAAATGCTGTCACTGGAGCCACATTCTCCATTTGAGCGTCTGCCGCCTTTAGGGGACCCCAAGTCTTTGCTGGAGCAGAGGATGGGAGGCCAACTGGAGGAGAAATGGGTGAGCAGTGTGGCTGGGTGGATGGAAAACAATGGAGGAGATGGAGGAGAAGATGGGCAGGCAACGGGATGCCTAGCTGAGATGGAGGAGAAGATGGGTGGTATGACTGAGACGATGGAGGAGAAGATGAGCAACAGCTGGAGAAAAGGTTGGGCGATGGGTGTGGGCTGATAGGATGGGTAAGTGGTAACGATGGAGGGAGGAAGTTGTAAGGTGTTAGAGACTGTATAACCAAGCCCTATCCGCCGATCCGAAATTTTTGGTCCGTTTTTGACGAACAAGTTTTCTGTACAATTCCGTACAGATGGGCTGTACGGATTCCGTACAGTTGGGCCGTACGGATTATTTTTCTTTATTTTTGGCCAAGCCTCCTAGTTGGCTTAGGGGTAGGTTTTACTCTCTATAAATACAAGCTCTCTCCCTTTGTAATCCCTGGGGTCCGAAAATAGCAATAATATTCCTGGCTTGGTAGCGCCCCCAGACGTAGTCATTCGTGGTGAACTGAGTTACCAAATTTTTGTGTGTTCTTCTTATTATTCATCGCGTGCGTGAGTTTAATTCCTAACAGAAGTTAGGGAAGATTAGGGTTGATTTGTGTATTTATATGAAGGATATTTGTGACCTTTCATTCTTAACATGGTATATCGTTGCCTGAAACAGAAGTTCTTAATCTTTTTGTCCGTTGAAACTCTAGTAGCATTGTTTCCATCATTATTTCTAATTATATTATGCAGATTTTAAAATGCTTGTTTTAGCAATCAAGGAAAACAGGGGTTAATGTAACTGTTGATTGAAATACTAGGGGTATTTTTGCATAAAAAAACCGTTAGGTTCTAATAAGGTGTATTTGCACCATTTCCCTTGATTAAATTTGTGGACAAGTAACTCATCAGCACAATCAAGGGTGCACCAATGCACTACCTAGTAACTCGTATACAATCCAAAGCAAAAAGCATGCTTTATTGCTATACGGCTACAGGCTGCTTTACCAGCCATGTGGAGTGGCTTGCAATCCATTGTAAATCTGTAATACAATTACATAACATACTTCCACATGATGTTTGCAGAGAGTTGTTCTCTTTGCTCTCTTTAACGTGTTTGTTCATACCATGTGTTGTAGCATGGAGGGTCGACAAATGCTTTTACATCTTCTGAGCACACCAACTTTTACTTTGATGTTAACAGTGACGGTTTTGAAGAAGCTTTAGATAGGTAATATGATTTTAAGGATATTCCTTCTTTTCACTATTTCTTTATGTCTATTTTTGGGCAAAGTTTCCTTATTACTTTGGGTATTTGATTTTCTAGATTTGCTCAGTTTTTCATCAACCCATTGATGTCAGCTGATGCTACAACAAGAGAGATAAAAGCTGTTGATTCAGGTTAGCATATTATCATTTTCTATGCATAGCAATCTAGTTATGTTTGATGTGTGCTGATTATTTCATGTCTCTGTTTTTCCTTGTGGAAACAAACTTGTTTATACAGAAAATCAAAACAACTTACTATCAGATGGTCACAGAATCTATCAGGTATTTTAATTGGGCTTACTGCATGGTTCAAGATTTCTAATATCTCATTGTAATTGTTGACTGTTAACTGTTAAGTGACAGATACTGTAAGGTGTTAGAGACAGTTTCTTAATTTATTCTTGTAAACACGTTTCTTAATTTATTTTTGGAAACACATCCTAATTTAATTAGGGGTTATGTTGCTTTGGGAACAAGACACTGCATCTCTATAAATACCACTCTCCTCTCTTGTAATCTGCATCCAAAAAAATATTAATAACATTCCTGGCTTGGTAGCGCCCCCAGACGTAGTCCTCTGTGGCGAACCGGGTTACCAAATTTCGTGTGTTCTTTAATTGTTATTCGTGTTTCTGAGTTAAATTCCTAACAACTGGTATCAGAGCCCTAGGTTCGAAGGGAGAGTTCAACACGATGGCAGATTTGAAGACACCGTTGATGCAGTTTGATGGGACTGATTTCGGCTTCTGGAAGCTGCAGATCGAAGATTACATGTACGGTAAAGATTTGTATCAACCTCTGGAGGATAAGCCGGAAGACATGAAGGAGAGCGATTGGAAGTTGCTGGACAGGAAAGCGATGAGCGTGGTGCGATTGTCGCTGTCCAGAAACATCGCCCTACATACCGTCAAAGCAAAAACGACGAACGAGATGTTGCAAATATTAACGGATATGTATGAGAAACCTTCTGCTGCGAACTAGGGTTGTTAACGAATCAAGCTTTTATCGAACTATTCGAGCTCGAGCTCGATTTCGAACCTAACGAGCCGAGCTTAATGAGCTTCGAACTCGAACTCGAGCTGAGTTTTAAGTTCGAAAAATTAATCGAGTCGAGCTCAAACATAGTAGTTTTCGGCTCGGTTCGAACTCGAGCCTATCGAACACCCTAAAATTTTAAATATAATTTTTATATATGTCAAAATTTAAATATAATTAGTATGATTTTATGAATTTAAATATGATTATTAATGAACCGAATACTTGTCGAACCATTCGAGCACGAGCCTATTAACGAGCATCATCTAAAATTTTAAATTCGGGCATATTTATCGAGCTTATCGAGCGCCCGGTTCGAACATCGAACGCCTATCGAGCCGAACATGAGCCTCATTTGTAAAGCTCGCCGAGCTTCGAGCTCGAACCCGAACATCCCTTATTCCTTAACGAGCCGAATTCGAGCTTTGGGTGTTCGGGCTCGGTTCGGCTCGTTAACAGCCCTACTGCGAACAAGGTACATCTCATGAGACGTTTTTTAACCTTAAGATGTCAGAAATCACGGGAGTTGTGGAGCATCTCAACGAGTTCAATTTAATCACCACACAATTGAGCGCGGTTGAGATCAAGTTCGACGACGAAATTCATGCCCTAATTCTGCTGTCTTCTCTCCCGGAAAGTTGGAACGGAACGGTGACTGCAGTCAGCGCTTCGGCAGGGAAGGAGAAACTGAAATTCGATGAAGTCAGAAATCTGGTGGTCAGCGAAGAAATTCGCAGGAAGGAATCATGTTTGGCTTCTGGATCGGCGTTGAGTACAGAGAACCGGGGCAGAACGAAGTCAAAGTCAAAGTCAAATCGGGATAGATCAAGATCCAAATCCAAGTCAAACAGCAAGGGCAAGAAGGACAGAAGTCAGATCAAGTGCTGGAATTGTGAGGAGTACGCAAGGTTTTGAAAGGCGAAATCGAGCCCCGAGGCGTTCGGCAATAGCCTCACGAGGCGTAAGCCTCGAGGCGTAACGAGGCGTAAGCCTCAAATTTAATTGTCTAAAAGCGTACAACATATCAGATGGTATAGATAATCCATAAGAATAATGCAACTAAACAAAATTACGAGTAAAAAGAACATAACAATAAAATATTCAAGTCAAAATAGCATAAAAATGAAATATAAAAAACACTAAACTTCCAAGACAAAAAAAATTAATGATTGATAATCAAATTTAATAAATAAATAAAAATAAAACCAAACTGTAATGAACTTAACTATAATATTTCAAATTAAAATGTAAATCTTAAGTCAAGTAAACTAGTAAAGTGCGCAGTATTAAACAAATAAATAAATTATTAAGTTAAATGATAGTTTTATATGATAACTTTACAGATTAAACAAAAGGCTTAATAATTACATTAGTAACGTTAAATGACAAACGCATAAAGATCAGAAAGGTTGGACGAAATTTAATACTATTTAATAACTTTAAATAGCTCAAAATAAAACCTTTAAATAACTAAAAAGTTAAATAAAAAAGTTAAATAATAAACACTATAAGAAATTATAGAAGTTGGGCGGTGGGATATTTTATTATTGCTTGGACGAACCGGCGAAGCAACTCCTGAAGTCTCTGTACCGAGCTTCAGCAGCTCTTCTTCAAGTCGTTGTTTCTAGTTTTTTAATATCTAGTCTCGTAGAAGAGTGAAAGACCATCGATTGGAATTTGGAAGACCTAAGGCTGTGGGTAAGCAATAAAATATCCAGGTATTTTATATTTTAGGAGAGAAAATTTGAGGCCCCCGATATACTTTTTAAAAAAAAGCCCAACCTTGCGTAAAATTAGAGGCGAACGCCTCGTGTACGCCTTGCGCCCACAGTCCGCATCAACGCCTCAGCAAATTTAAGGCGTAAGCCTTGTTAGCAGAAGGTGAAGCTTAAGCCTTCCAGGCTATTACCGACCGCCTTTGCGCCTTTGCGCCTCAAGTGCGTAAAGGCTAAACGCCTTTTAAAACCATGGGAGTACGGACACTTCAAGAGCCAGTGCAAGGAGCAGATCAAGGATCAGAAGGAGAAGACATCTGCCAATGCAGCGGCAGAATCATCGGGTGATGATCTCCTGATTCTGAGCGTGAGCAGTCCGTTGGAGTCATGAGTTCTGGATTCTGGAGCCTCGTTCCATTCATGTGGTAACTCTGAAGTGATGGAACAGTATACCCCCGGCAATTTTGGAGAGGTGTATCTTGCTGATGATGAGCCTCTTAAAATTGTCGGGAAGGGGACAGTCCACTTGAAGACTCCGAACGGATGCATGCTGAAACTAAATGGTGTCCGACACATTCCTGGTTTGAGGAGGAATCTTCTTTCAATTGGGCAGCTGGATGAGGAAGGTTATGCAGTTACATGCGGCAGCAGAAATTGGAAGATCACCAAGGGAGCCTTGCTGGTTGCTAAGGGGAAGAAGGAGGGTACGCTGTACATGACAACGAACTCAAAGGACTGCATCGATGTTGTTGCCGCTGCAACAAAACGATGTGAATTTGTGGCACTGTCGGCTCGGTCACATGAGCGAAAAGGGGATGAAGGAGCTGTGCTCGAAGGGCAAACTGTCCGGCCTGAAGACTGTTGAGGTTGGCTTATGCGAGGACTGCATATCCGTAAAACAGAAACGTGTTAGTTTCTCAAAGGGAAGACGAGCTATCAAACCGGAGAAGTTGGAACAAGTTCACACCGACCTTTGGGGACCTGCAGAAGTTACATCCTTGGGAGGATCCGTCTACTACATGACCTTTATTGATGATGCCACAAGAAAGGTGTGGGTTTATTTTCTCAAAATTAAATCCGATGCCTTTGATGCTTTCAGGAGGTAGAAATCTCGTGTTGAGACAGAGTCAGGTCTGAAGTTGAAGTGCCTTCGGTCAGATAATGGGGGTGAGTATGAACTGCATGAGTTCAAGAATTTTTGTGCTGAGAATGAGGTTCGTATGGAGAAGACAACTAAGGGGACTCCGCAGCATAATGGCGTTGTTGAACGCATGAACAGAACACTGAATGAGCGGGCTAGATGCATGAGGTTGAAAAGTGGCTTACCGAAGATGTTTTGGGCGGATGCAGTGAACACCGCGGCTTTTCTCATCAACAGAAGTCCAACGATCTTGTTGGAGAATGGCATTCCTGAAGAAAGGTGGACTGGTAAAGAGGTAAATCTGTCCTATCTCCGCATATTTGGTTGTGTTGCTTATGTTCATATCAGTTCCGTTGACCGAAGCAAGTTAGACGCAAAATCTGTGAAGTGTACGTTCGTTGGATATGGTGGTGATGACTATGGAAACAGATTCTGGGATGAGCAGAATAGGAAGATTATTCGTAGTCGAGATGTGGTGTTCAATGTGCAGGTTCTGTACAAGGACAGATTGAGCGCATTTGATTCTGAGCAAGAAAGTCCGAAGATCATAGAGCTGGATATCTTTAGTTCAGGTGGGAGCAAGCAGGATCAGAATGAAGAGACGAGCAGTGATGAGGATCCATCAACTCCGCCAAGGCAGCGGCCTGTTAGGAACCGAAGAGCACCAAATAGGTATTCACCTTATAATTTCTATTTGTTGGTTACTGACGGTGGTGAATAGGAGTCCTATGCAGAGGCAGTTCGGGTTGATGACAAGGGCAAGTGGAAACTTGCAATGGATGATGAGATGGCATCTCTCACATCCAATGATACTTGGAGGTTAGTTGAACTACCGAGAGGAAAGAAGGCTTTGCACTGCAAGTGGGTCTACCGCATCAAGAAGGAGGCAGATGGTAGCAAACGCTACAAAGTTAGGATGATTGTGAAGGAGTTTGAGTAGCGCTATGGTATTGATTATACCGACATATTCTCTCCAGTTGTGAAACTAACTACTATTCGGTTGGTGTTGGGGTTAGTCGCTGCAGAAAATTTGTTGTTACATCAGATGGATGTGAAGACTGCATTCCTTCATGGTGATCTGAATGACGAGATTTACATGGTGCAAGCAGAGGGCTATGTGGCAGAGGGCAGTGAGAATCTCGTATGCAAGCTAGTGAAGAGCTTATACGGGTTGAAACAGGCACCGAAGCAGTGGTACAAGAAATTTGATGGTTTCATGCGGGAAATCAGTTTCTTGAGATGTCACACCGACAATTGCTGCTACTACAAGAAGACTAAGAACTGTTATCTTATCTTGCTATTATATGTAGATGACATGTTGATTGCAGGAGCTAGTTCAAAGGAGATTGAGAAGCTAAAGAAACAGTTGTCAGAACGTTTTTCCATGAAGGATCTTGGAGAGGCAAAGTAGATTTTGGGCATGCGACGAATACATTCAGAAGGTCTTGGAAAGATTCAGAATGCAAGATGCTAAGGCTGCAAGTGTTCGATTGGGTCGTCACTTCAAGCTTAACAAGGAAGATTCTCCAAAGAACAAGGAGGACCGTGCTCAAATGCAGAAGATTCCATACGCATCGGCAATTGGTAGCATCATGTACGCTATGGTTTGCACGAGGCCAGACATTGCACATGCGGTGGGAGTAGTGAGCAGATACATGGGAGACCCCGGGAAAGAACACTGGGAAGCTGTGAAGTGGATCATGAGGTATTTGAAAGGTACTGCTTCTAATGCTTTGTGTTTTGATGGAAAGAATGTAGTGCTGCTGGGACATGTTGATGCAGATTTGGCATCAAATGACTCGGATGGATCAAGAAGCCCCACAGGGTATGTTTTTACATTTGGTGGGACAGCAGTATCTTGGCTTTCGCAGCTGCAGAAGATTGTTGCATTATCTACTACAGAGGCAGAATATGTGGCCATTACGGAGGCAAGTAAGGAGATGATGTGGCTTCAGAATTTACTTGGGGAACTTGGGAAGGAGTACAAGAATAGCATTCTTTATAGTGACAGTCAAAGTGCTATCTTCTTAGCAAACAACTCAGCTTTTCACAAGAGAACCAAACACATTCGGTTGAAGTATCACTACATCCGTCATCTTCTAGAGATAGAGGCATTGCAGCTTGTGAAGATCCGCGAGAGTGAGAATCCAGCAGACATGTTTACTAAGGTGGTAACCTTGGAGAAGTTGTAGCTTTGTATAGCTTCAATTGGCCTTGGTACTTGAAGTTGAAGGCCGGCGCTACCATGCTAACAAGTGAGGATTTGAAGAAGACAGTCTCAAGGTGGGAGATTGTAAGGTGTTAGAGACAGTTTCTTAATTTATTCTTGGAAACACGTTTCTTAATTTATTTTTGGAAACACATCCTAATTTAATTAGGGGTTATGTTGCTTTGGGAACAAGACACTGCATCTCTATAAATACCACTCTCCTCTCTTGTAATCTGCATCCAAAAAAATATTAATAACATTCCTGGCTTGGTAGCGCCCCTAGACGTAGTCCTCTGTGGCGAACTGGGTTACCAAATTTCGTGTGTTCTTTAATTGTTCTTCGTGTTTGTGAGTTAAATTCCTAACAGATACTCCATTGATTTTCAGCTTTAAAAAAGTACATAGTTATGTATACTTCTTGAGGACTGATGCTTTGTGCCATATACCACCACCATCCTTAATTTATCTCTTGGTTTGACTTTTGCATGTTTTTAATAAAGTGAAAACTGTGGTCGAAATATAATTAGTGGAAAGAGAAACTATGGGAAATCATTTCCTTAAAAAGGAAAGAGAAGATAATTCAAGGAAAGACTGAAAAGGAAAGAATGAAGATATAAAGAGACAAAGGGGGTAATTTCATTCCTACAAATGTAGGAAAATATATACAATAAACAGAATGCTATATCACCACATATGCTACTTTTGTGCAGCTCGAAAAACATCTTAGCTCAAGTGATCATCCATACCACAAGTTCGGTACAGGTGTGTTTTAACATGAGGCCTAAGCTCACATTGTATCATATACTCCCTCCATACCCAAATCAAGTTCTCACCTTGACTTCACAGGTTTTTAGGTAGAATAAATAATTAGGTTTACTTTCCAATTATGTCCTTTAGTCCTTAGTTATAATAAAAGGAGGCTAGCAGCCGGAGAGCAGCAACCCAAGCTGAGGTCCCTTAGAAGAAGAAAACACCGCAAAATCATAAGCTAGAATGATAGCAAATTGTCAGAAATCCTTCTAAAATGTTGGTGGTGAGATAGCACAACTCCACACCTTAGCCAGATAGCAAATCCTCACCTTCACTGGAAATCCTCCTTCCCGAATTTAGTGACTGAATTTGAGAGGCCGGAAATCCCCGAGACAGCGCTGCCGCTGCTATCCATCATCCTGCCATCGCCGAATAACCCTTCACATGTAGCGGGAAAGAGAGGCTGCAGAGGGAGAGAAAGGCTGGAGATGTGGGGAGACGGAAAAGAATGGTAGCAGGGGGGAGGACTGGAGAGGAGGAGAGAGGGTGTGTTACGAGGTATTTTAGGGGAGGGGGCAAAAGGGTAGTTTTAGTCCAAAATTTTACTAAAAAAGAAATACAATGAAGTGAGAACTTTATTTTAGGACATCCAGAAAAGGAAAGTGAGAACTTAATTGAGGTATGGAGCAAGTAGTTTTTTTAATAAGCCACCAGAATTAGCCACACCTTTACTCATCCTATAAGGTTATTTTTGGAACTCAGAATATGGCAGAGAAAGAAAAAAAGCCAAGGGGATGTTTTTTAATGTACCGGTTGTACCATAGAAAAATTGCCAAGTTGGGATTTTATTAGAACTTTTTTAAGATTTTATATTTATTTAAATTTCTTAACAGATGTCCGATTTTAAACCAACTCTAATTTTTATGTACGGGGATTCTTCACCTCATTGGCACAATGTAATTGATATTCTCCTTTTGAATTTGGGTAGTTTTCCTTCTCTCTTATTAAAATAGAAACCTACAATCTCTTTTTAATAGGGATTTACATGCACAAAAATAGCTATAGGTAGAGGTAAGTTTTGCATGCATCTCACCCTCCTAGGACAGTAGGACCCTACTTATGAGTGGTGTTAAGGAAATTCCACAACGGCCATGTATAAATATACAAACGGCTACTCTTCATATCAGGATGAAACCCAAGTCTTAATGTGATATGAGTTAATTACGCTCAAACGTGCGATCAATCTGGCTAAGACTATTCAATGAGCACACAAACTACAAGATTGGTTTGCTCTAATGAGTCATGATCATGCGGGTCATGTTAAGTCATCCCACACTGGCCACACATAATGATACAAACCATCATACAAAGATACAAGGCTATGAGCTCGCCCTCTTATCAAGTTCATCCTACATTGGTCACATATACAGATACAAACCACCATACAAAGCTTTGAACTCCTATAAGGTTGATCTTTTAGGGTGTAATCGAAGTCTTAATTAGTGAGACATATTGGCTATGTTGGGTTTATGCATATAATTATAAAAAGAGATATTACCCGAAATAGGACAAAAAAGGTTGATAATTCCAAAATAGGACTGCCATGTTTTTATTCCCAAAATAGGACTAATTACTGTCATGTTTTGGCAGTACCAGACTTCAAGCATGGCAGTATTTTCCAAACTTGGCAGTAATTACTCCTATTTTGGGAATAAAAAACACGACGGTCCTATTTTAGAATTTTCAAACTGTTTTGGTCCTATTTCGGGAACTTTCCCTTATAAAAAATAAGGAAAGAAAGAAATCATAGCAAATCACTTTCTAATATAGAAAATCTAATGAAGGTATCAAAATCAAATAAAAATAAAATAAATCAATCATATTTGAGCAAATCATTCAGCCATATCTCTCTCCTCAATCCTATACTTGATTAATTTTTTATTCTATCTATAATCTTATAATGTGGGGGAGCCTTGCCGCACCATTTAAGGTGTTACTGTGCGACCGAGAGGTCACCGGCTCAAGTCCTGGGAGTGGCCTCTTTTTAAAAAATTCACAGGGAAAGACTTGCTCCTCATACACCCATGTGGTGGGACCTGTCCCCAAACCCTCATGTTGTGGGGATGCCTTCGTGCACCACGCTGCCCTGTTTTTATAATCTTATAATGTAGAATGCATCATTAAGTCACCACAAAAAGATGTTCTGGAGGTCAGTTTATCCTCACGCTTGTATACCCGCAAGCAGGCTGCCCCAATCCGTCAAGTTTATAGACGCCCAACAAACCACCATTGGATCAGACTGAACCCATTATACATCTGAAATGGGATACTCAATATGTATCAATTCTATCATTTCAATTTTTCTAATTTCTACCATCATTTAATTCTTGATAGGGAGCTGGGATACTTTGGAAGTACGTTCGAAGGAAAGAGGGTTAGATATAAGGCAGGAGCTTCTCAAATTCTATGAGGAGAATTATTCATCCAACGTGATGCATCTGGTTGTTTATGCAAAAGGTAACTGTCACATGTTTGCATATGTTTTAGTCTGTACAACCTCAACTTTGCCGATACTGATCCTTCTTCTTTCATGGGGGGATATGCTAGATAGCCTTGATAAAACCCAAAGCCTAGTACAGAATGTGTTCCATAAAATCCAAAATACTAGTAGAAGTTGTGCTATTGATTGTGGTCAGCCTTGCACATCAGAGCATCTACAGGTACTTAATTTCTAAGAAGAATTGAGAATTATTTTGTGTGCCATGTTTATTATTCTTTATTTAATTTTTCCTGGCTCTTATGTGTTTTGGATGAAAACTTGAACATCAAAGCCACTTGTGAACACTGAACAGGATTAGTGACTTTAACCAAATCCATAATGTTGTTCCGTACAACCTTTTCTTATTTCCTTCATTTGCAATGGAGCCAAAGACTCATTATTTTTTAGCTTGGGAATATGATGGGATAAAGCAAAATGGCTCACTAAATTGTCTGTGTTTCTTTGTTATGAAGCAGCAGTCAGTCCATGCAATTTTCAATGCGATTTTCACTACGGGTCATCAGGAAATAGTCTCTTTTTCTTCTTTAGTACATGGGTAAGACTGCGTAGATCCGACCCCCTTACCCCACCAAAGCTAGGAGCCTTTGCGGCACTGGGTAATGATGATGATGATGACAACCTTTTCTTAAATGAATACTTCTGTGCTTAGAAGTTATAGCTGACATTATCTTCTCTTGAATTTTTAAAAATTTTCTGCATTTGGGACTTTATTCATTGCAGCATTCCCTAAAATGTCTGTAGTGTTTGCTTAAGATCTGTTTGTTGTCAAATGAGGTAACATTAGTTTTTGAAACATCTCCTAACTTTTTTTTGTACAACTCAGATTCTCGTCAAAGCAGTCCCTATAAAGCAAGGTCACAAGTTGAGCATCAAATGGCCAGTCACCCCTGAGCTCTTTCACTACAAGGAAGGACCTATCAGCTATATAAGTCACTTGATTGGCCATGAAGGAGAAGGTTCTTTGTTTTACAGTTTGAAGAAGTTAGGTGGGTTCTCAGCTACAGCTTTTAAAAGTGACAAAGTCCATATGCATAACACATGTTTCCCCTCTTTTTATCTTTGACTTTGTTTGGTTTATGGAAGAAAAAGAGGAGAGAGAAACGGGGTTGGATTTTGTGTGGTTTGGTAGAAGAGAAATAGAGAAGAAATTGGGCGAAGACTCATTTCCATCCATAAGAAAGAAGTAAAGAAGGAGGTGGAACCACCATTTCAATTCTCTCCTCCCCATTTCTCCGTTCACCAAACAACAAAAAATCTTCATTCCTCTCCTGTTTGTTTAATTTCTATTTTCTCTCTCTTATTTTACCTTAACCATACAAAGGCTATATTTTATTGTAGATCCATAAGATTATTTATGTGTAACAATTAACAAACTTATAAATGTAGGATGCCTACCTTGTCCGTCCTAATCTTTTCTTCGTTATACCGAGCAAACTACTCTTACAGTGTTTAATTGTATCTGGCATGAATTCCAAAAATCATGAATTCCCAGAGTCTTATTGATATCTGCATTCAATTAGAAGTTTAGAACATTGAATACACTCACCTCTTACATATAGCCATGTATATAATGGCCAAGCGTAGTTAGACTAAATGTATGCCACTCTTTGCCAATGCTTATATGATTGGCCCTAATTTTAACCTTTATCGTATACACAGTTATTTTATGATTGTGAAATGTATCATGCTTATTAGTTATTACATATCTATTTAAAAACCAAGTTTGCAGTGACATGTAGCCATCCGTGACATAGATGTCTATAGTAAACAACTTTACTTAGAAATAGAGATAGATATTGTATACAAACTCCACTTAGTTTCTGCTCAGCTATAATATTTCTTCCCCCCCCCCCCCTCCCCCTGCTTTTCTTTGTGTTATGATCCCAACAATCATCATCAGATGCTTTTCGGGATTATATTGGCTTCATATCTTATATGTGCTTTTCAAGTGCAATTCTTGCAGGTTGGGCTACTAGCTTATGGGCTTCTGAATCAGGAAGATGCCGGTTCTTCTCTTTTTTTGAAGTATATATTGAACTGACTGATGCTGGTCATGGTTAGTGTCCTTTCATCTTTACAAGTCTTGGACAAAAAGATTGTTAAGACTGCTTTAGAGGAATTTTCATTAATTCTATGGTCTCCCTTTCATGATGGATTAGATTTGTGAATATATGATAATTTTATTCCTATTGGATGTAACAAATTAAAGATGAACAAAAATAGCAGTTGTATCTTTTAAGCTGTAAGATAAGTATATCACCATATTGCATGTGAAGGCTTTAACCTTCTTAGACCATCTACCATTCTCTATGAGTTGCAGACCATTTTGAGGAAATTGTAGGACTGCTTTTCAAATATATTCACCTCCTTCAAGAAAATGGTGTCTGCAAATGGATATTCGAGGAGGTACACAATATATCTGTATTTTTTAAACTCATTACTGAATTTCACGGACAATTAATCATACCAATTGCAACTCATAGCATTATGCACACCAAATAGCCATTTTTATTTGGTGGACTCATTAACAAGCTTCTTCCTTCTGAACAACTTCTTATTGATGGGAAGGAACACATTTAAAGTTTTAAACAAGCACAACCAAATTTTGATCGTTTTGCATTTTCAACCTGTTATACCATAAAAGCAAAGCGCTTTAATATCTTTGGTGTGAGTATGGTTAAAGTTAAGCTTAACTAAAGTTTTGATGTGTCATCGTGATGGTTTTAGTTTCTTACTTCATAAAGGATTGCATATTGAAAAATGATTCTTTATACATTTGGTTCACACATTTTTGTACACCAAATAAATACCTCAATTTTTTTTACCCTCTCCCTTCTTCACTCTGTGATTCACGTCGGTTTCTTCCTCAAACTCATCACTCTCCCTCTTCTTCATCCAACTTCACCACTCACTCTCCTCATCCACTTCCCCAAAAACTCTCACAGTCTCACTCTCTCTTCTTCATCCAACTTCATCACCGTGGCTACAGTTTAATTTAAGGAAACACAGCGGGAGATCGACAGCCACCGGAAAACACAACCAGAGATGGACAATCGTCCGAAAACACAATTGGAGATGGACAGTAGCCGGAAAATACAATCAGAGATGGACCAACACCGGAAACACAACTGGAGATGGACAACCGTGTGAACTATTGCCTTGAAATATTGTATGTTGGGTTAAAAATGGTTTGAGTGTGTTAAATATTGTCTATGTCATGTCATTTTAAATATTGTGTATGTCATCTTAAAAATTAATTTGGTCATAGACGATTTTTTTAATGAAGAAATCAAGCTGAAAAGCTTGTAAGTTGCTCGCTCGAACAACTAATATATGTGCATAGACATTGATTTGCGCACCACTCACATTGGTTAAGACGCTCATATGTGCTTTTTGCTAAAATGTCAATGTATGATAGCACAAAAACTAATGTTTGTGAGGAGCTAAAAATGTACGTATTCGTACATTTTTTGTAGCCTAACTTTATAGACAAAAGTTGTTCGTGTGAAAGATCTTGAACGCCTTCCTCAACTGTCTTATATGTCGTCTCTCCTTCACCGGCTGTCTCCTCAGTTTTATGTCCTTCCCCGACCGTCGTTTAAGTACAAGCTTCATCTCCGGCTGTTTTTTCCAGACAATGAATATGATGATGATGTGAGCAAGATGGAAGATGGCAAAAGATGTGATGAAGAGGAGGGAAAAAGGAAATAGAAAACTGAAAAGGAAAGGAGAGAGAGGGGGGACTCACCAAGCATGTGTGGGGTAAAAAATGGCAATTTTTTGGGTTTATATATGGTGTTCCAAATGTGTACAACTACTGGTACACCAAGCATTTTTGTTGCATATTTCAATGGAAACTTTAGAACATCCGATGTATGTATAGTGCTAAACTTTCTTGACGTTTCTTGATGTGTCCATGAAGCTCTCGGCTATTTCTGAAACTGATTTTCATTATCAAGACAAGATTTCGCCCATTGACTATGTGGTTTGTATTGCGTCCAATATGCGGGTATGTAAATTTTTGAGCTACACTGTTATTCATGTGTAGTTATCTTCCTTTTATGCAACAACATAATGCCTTAATCTAAAATACAGTGTGAGTGCTTGAAATCTTCATTTTAATACTTAATAGCCCAACGTTTTGATTTATATTACAAGAGCGGCCTAATGGGCTTCCTTTATTCTAGCTGTATAAAACTTGCACTTAAATTTGATTACCAATATCCAGGTTGTATTGATATTTTTTTGTTCTATTTTATAGGACTACCCTCCAAAAGATTGGTTGGTGGGGTCTTCTTTACTTTCGAATTTCAGCCCAGAAATTATTGAAACAATACTCAATGAACTCAGTCCACACAATGTTAGGTAAATTTTAGTGACTTTGTACACTGTCGTACGAACCTATTCTATTTTGTCATTGCAAAACTTTGTTGTCTACAATCTACTATGGTTACCACAAAGATGAGCTGATTTTTTCATGGAAAAATCTTTTGAACAGAATATTTTGGCAATCTCAAAATTTTGAGGGACATACAAACTCCACTGAGCCTTGGTATGGGACTGCATATTCTTCTGAGAAATTAACCGGTTCCACTATTGAGGTTCATAACTGGCTCTCTTGATTGTCTATCACTGTAAAGTTCTAAGTAGTATTATAATATATGCAAGTGTTCACTTCAATACTTTTATTTTTATACTTCACAGCAATGGATGAAAAATGCTCTTCTTGAAGATTTGCATCTCCCTGTTCCCAATGTGTTCATTCCTACTAATCTCTCTCTTAAGAGTATCCCAAACAAGGTATTAGGCTATTAGCTGTAAAATACATAATCTAACAATATCATGACATTATTATCACTTTTTATGTTACTCCTTATTATGCATATTTTTTTGCTTATGCTCACAGATGAGTGCTCCATTTTTATTGAGAAAATCCGCTTACTCAAGATTATGGTACAAGCCAGATACATCATTCTCTACACCAAAAGCATATATTGTGTTGGACTTTAGATGTCCCAACTGTGGAATATCTCCAGAATCATCTCTTCTTACCAACATTTTCCTACGCTTGGTGATTGATGACCTAAATGAATACGGCAAGTAGAAAAAGCCAAGTTTTAATATGATATGTTTTTTGTACGTATTTGGCTTTCTCTATGGATTAAATACTGATTTAATTTGATGGAGAGAATTAGATACATGTATCAGGTGTAGGAATTCATTAACCTTCTGTCCTCATTGTTTCATTATGTTGTATATTTTTCAGCCTACTATGCAGAGATTGCTGGTCTTGGTTATTCAGTAAATAGCTACTATAACGGTTTCCAGGTATTCACATGTTGAGCCTTTTCTAACAATAAGTTTACGTTGGAGGAGTTATTTAGCATGACATATATACATTTTTGGATGTTGCATAAGCAATCCAGATTACGAATTCAGGCGATGCACAATTCTAAAACTGGTATACCTATAACAGAAGTTGTATTCAAATATGCAGGAAATGCATTGACATGACATTTAAGCTTCATGTCACTATTATTTTCATTGAAGTCTTTTTGGGCACTGTTGTGTTAAATTGGTGTGTTATGAATAATAATGTATAAAAGTTAAATGCGTCAACTTTTATGTCCTTTAGTCGTCGAACAGTGTGGGTCTAGATGACACACCGATCGAGGCCCGGAGACGTTTGGGAGAGAGGCATCAAGTGGCTAGCACGTTTCTCCAACATGATTTAGAGAAACAACAAAATGTCAGTGAGTTGGCGGAAGAGTGCTCTTATTCCCCTATTTAAAAATAAGGTTAATGTACAAGAATGTGCCAACTATTGAGGGATTAAACTTATGAGTCACACCATGAAACTTTGGGAGCGAGTGGTTGAGCAAAGACTCCGAAAAAGTGTGAAAGTTTGAGAGAATGACTTTGGTTTAATGCCTGGATAGTGGATACTCAATAACTGAGGCCACGCACCTTCGTAGACAAGTTGTAGAGAAGTATAGAGACACTAAAAAAGGATCTTCATTTGGTGTTCATTGACTTAGAAAAGGCATATGATAGGGTACCTCGAGAACTCCTTTGGTAGGCCTTAACTAGAAAAGGCATATCACGTAAGTATATCAGTATCATCATGGATATGCACAAGGTTTGTACTACAAGTTTCCGTACTAGTGAAGGGAGGACTGCAGAGTTCCCTATTACTATCGAAGTGCATCAAGGATCAGATTTGAATCCTTTCTTATTTGCTATAGTCAAATGAACTTACGAAGACAATTCAAGAAGATAAACCGTGGTGCATGATGTTGCCAACGATATTGTATTGATTGATGAGACACAATTGGTATTAAAGCATAGTTGGAAGTATGACGACAAACATGTGAGACCAAGGGTTTCAGACTGAGTCGAAACAAGACTGAGTATATGGAGTGCAAGTTTGGTGGAGGTAGAAGTAGTAGTAACAGTGGCATTACCCTTGATGGCAAGGAGACACCAGTATGTGATATATTCCGTTACTTGAGATCCATAATTCAAAAGGATGGTGAATTAGATGGAGATCTATCCTGTAGAATCAAAGCAGAGTGGATGAAATGAAAGAGTGCATCAAGATTTCTATGTGATCAAGGTATGTCGACTAGACTGAAGGATAAATTTTATCAGACAATAATTAGACGTACATTAATGTATGACATAAAGTGTTGGATAAAAGATGAGTGTGACAGAGATGCGTATGTTGTGTTGGATATGTGGACAGACCAGAAAAGATCACTTGAGGAATGAGAGAATCAAACTATTACTTCTATTATATTAATTTGATATTAAATATACTATCCTCCGTTCTTTAATTCTTGCAACAGTTTGATTTTCACGTTTGCCAACGCACAATTTTGACTGTAATTATATTTAATTATGTATTAGTAAACATTATAAAAAGTTGATATTTTGGAAATTCACAATGATAGGAATTGAATAACACTTTATACGTAATAATTTGATTATGTATATTAGTAGAAAATCATGGTCAAAGTAAGGTCTGTGAATAGTGCAAAAATCACAATGTTGCAAGAATTAAAGAATGGAGGAAGTATTAATTAGACGTACATTAATGTCGCTTGAGGAAGGAGACACCAGTATGTGATATATTCCGTTAATATTAATTTGTATATTAATATTTGTTATACAGTATTAAACTATTAATAAAAGTACTTTAATTAATTAAGTTATACACATAGTCGATTGATTTTTGTATATACACATGCATTCATAAACCTTTTTTTCATTTATTAATTGCTGGTATCAATTCTAGGTAATATACAATTTAATTAGTAATATATCATATGTATTATGTAATATATAATAAATTACAAATTAAATACAGATAAATAGAATGTTATATATAAATATATCATATATATAGCTATATATATGACATATAATATATTATACAATGTGGGACTAGTCACCTAATGGTCGCCTTGTCGCCTAGGTGATATGGCGGTTGGCTGGCGTCGCAACTCGCCATACTGCTCTGACAAGTATGACGTAGAAGAGCGAGTAATGCACCTGTGAGATGAGTTGAGAGGTGGGAAGAAGATGCCACCTGTGAGATGAGTTGAGATGCGGGAAGGAGATGGAGAGGAAGACCCAAACAGACTTGGATGAGAGTATGGCTGAGAGCGGATGACGATTTTTCAATCGGGGAAGAGGGATTTTTGCCGATCTGGAACGTGGTCGACTTGGGGACATCGCCGATTGGGAGCAGCGCCGCCAGAGCATGGTCGATTTGGAGCATCACCATCAGAGCTCGATCGATCTGGTGCAGGGTCACAAGACAGGGAGTGGCCGCGTCTGGAGTTCTTCCGTAGGGTTTTCGGCTTGGGTTCTCAGCGTCGCGCACACTGTTCCGGCCGCAATTTGCGTGATAAATTAACATCTTACAGAGTTTCGGCTGGGGATAGGAATAATCATCAAATTCGCTTGAGAAAATGGCAGAACTTTGGGCGACGGAATTGGGGGAGCAGTGCTACATCGGTGAGAGACTTTTTTCAGGGATGAACGAGGCGGCAGGTTCAGTTCTTCGGCCGTCAAAAGCTGGAATCAACGGCAGAATGAGCAGCTGATTGATTTCCAGAAGATCAGGGACGGTCATGGCAAGAGTGTCAACATCATGCTTTTATGACCAGAAACGCAGGTTCAAATTTGACAAGTTTGAATCACTTTCAATGAGTTCGAATAGAAAGTAATATTTTTTTTTGCTTTATGTTACATCTGCAATGCTTCGAATTAGTCAAATCAAGGATCGTCATTGTTTTTCTTTGGATCTTGATGTGAATGGAGTTGAATGGCTCTGTGAAGCTTTTTGTCATCTTCAATCCCAAAGTTCATGGACAATCACTCGATATGAAAATTCACGAAAGCTAAGCTTATCTTTAGAAGCAAATAGATTTTGATGCTTCTTTCGTTTGGTGATATTTGATAATAGGGGTAAACATACTACTATTACACTAAAGGGCAGAAATGGACTGGGTTTTCAACTTTTTAGTTCTACTTTACAAAGCAAGGTTGGTTCGTTACAAAAGGTGAAGAAAGAGGTTTTGGTAACTGATTTGACTGATCATGGGGTAGTTTGTGCCGATTTTTTTTTTTTTTTGGGATGAAATGTAAATATATATTAACACTCAGAAAAACTATACATCACATATCCTAGATCTCCTAAAACCTCCCCCACCCCCACATAAAGTGAGGATGAAAGGAGGTTTTTATTTGATCTAAGTTATGCCAAAATAACCAAGTATAATACTTGGCCCATCAAGAGGTTCAAAAAATACATTGATGCTGCCCATGCACGCACACAGATCAGAGGCTAAGTTCTAAATAAAGTACAAAAGGTGTTGCAAAATCAAACACCATAAAGTCCAAGACCATTCTTCATGTCTCGACATCCATGATGTCCATGCCACGGTGTACCAAGTGCCCAAGCCGCGGCACCCATAATGTCCATGCCTCGGCGCACCAAACTAACATGTAGCGGTCTATCCAAAACCGCGACATCCATTATATCCATGTCGCGGTCTTCTACTCAGAAATTAATCAAATCATGCGGGTATAAATTGAAAAGTATTTTATACACCACATGCTTGATTTTTGCAATGACTTCCTCTTCCTTGACATCCCCTTCATCAAATCTGTTGGCGTTCCTAGCGTGCCCAATGTAGTAAACCGCGGCACCAAACGCAATCCGGACAGCCTTCCCATTGATCTTTGATCCTTTATGATCCTTCAAGATCCATTTGACGGAGCTGTAGAGCGTGGTCATCTCTCGAGTCATGCCCAACCATTCCTTAATTTTTTCCCAGACCCTACAGGTGTAATGACAACGAAAAAATAGGTGTGGCAATGTTTCCAATCCACCCTTGCATAGGTCACAACGATTAACAATATGTAGGTAACCGAGGTTATCCTGTGTAGGTAACCGGTTCCTCATAGCAAGCCAGACATTGAATGAAAACTTCGAAGGGATATAAGACTTCCAAATGAAGCTCATCCACACACTCGGCGTCCCTTTAATTCTCAACAATTCATAGATCTTTCCGGAAAGGAGTTTACCATTTTTGGATCTACTATTTAGGCCCATAATGGTATCATTCAAATTGTTAAAGCATCCCAAAATTTGATCCCGGATGTGACTCAATTTCTTCATGAACAATGAGTCACTATTGTGTGGGATAAAATCTCACACACTCCTACCATTGAGGTAAACCCCGTTGACCCACCTCACCCAGAGGGTTTGTGCCGATTCTTTATTTGAGGATTCGAGGACTGAATGTTTGGGATCAATCTCTTCCAAGCGTTTTCAGCAAGACTTGCTTATCAGCTTATATATATGACATTTCTTCTCCTAATTCAGAGAAAGTTCACAAGGATCTAGAGCTTTTTTATTTGCCAAGACCATAGTATGGAGGAATCTCGGAGAGACATTTAGGGGAAGTTTTTGCCACTTTTGATCCTCCGACTATTATGTCATTGACACTTTCGGTACTTGACTTTGATTTTTTCCATTTCTAGCCCTCGACTATTGCGATATAGACACTTTTGTACCCGTTTTTGAAAATTTACACATTTAGTCCTTCAACTTTCATAAAAGTGACACTTTTGGTCCTTCAACTATTATGATAGTGGCATTTTTAGTCCTCCACTGATTGTGTCAAAATCATAATGAGAGGGCTAAAAGTGTCAATTTGATGATACTCAGGGGACTAAATGTGAAAAACCTTGAAGTCGGGGACTAAAAGTGTCTCTAGCACAATAGTCGAGGACAAAAAATGGAAAAATTAGAA